TGAAATTCAAAACTCCAATTTTGCTTGAAATCCAGGTCCTATGGGGAAAATTCGAGTAAAAATTCGATATCTCAGCAACAAAGCTGATTGCGCACGAACCAAGTTGGGATTCTTCATAGTCCATGAGAATCTACATCTTAAAAATAGTCCCACTCAAAAAGATTTTTAGCACCTCAGGCGGTTCCCTCGTTAGAACAATACTTTTGAATTTCCTAACTCTCCTTTTTATATGTCGTCTCTTATTTCAACTATACGTCACAATTCTTCCTGTATATAGGCAGCATGCCGACAACAACGAGTGTGGCCGGTAGGTAAATCTGAAACATCTGAACTCTGCGGCTCGCTCTTTTACTAATTGAATTGTATATAACTTATCTTATGATATCACGACCGGTACAATTCTGACTCCAAGTGAATATTTTACTAGATCATTATGTTTTGTATATATGTATAACTTTAATTTACTAGTTAACCCAGCAATACTAACAACAATCACAACTACGACAGACAGTAAATAAGAACGTCTTTACTCGCCACAACTATGAAGAAGATCGACTGACATTTTCCTTTGTTGTTTTACTTTTAGCAACGAGTTCTACTACTGCCGATACCACTACAGCAGGTGAGTTCCAAAAATTCATTTTGTAATCAAACAAAATTTAAAAAGTCTTTGGTGGTAAGACACCAGAAGCTGCGTGAAATATTGCAAAACAAAAACAAGATATTAAGAAGATATTATATGACGTAAAGTGAATATTATCTATTTTGTAGCTATAATAACTACAACGACAAGCACTTCTAACAGTAAGTCCATACTCACATTAAAGTGGTACGCTGACTCGCCCTTCATACTTTACAATTCTATAGCTACTGTTTTAACCACAACAAATACGGACAGTACTGCTACTTCAACAACACTGGCAACAATAACAACTACTGGGAGTAAGCAGTGCGGTATGCATTAGTAAACCGATCTTTTTCAACTTTCTTCGACATTTAGCTACCACTACGGTAACGACAACGATTTCAAGTACTATCGCCAGCACAACGAGTAGTTCGATCAGTAAGTTTGAATAAACCTTGCGTGTTCAGTTGGTTAAGAACCACGAAAAAACTCATGTTTGTTTTGTTTGTGCGTTCGATGATCTTTGAAAAATTATTTACTGCCGTCGATTTTGGATGCACGTACCTATCGGCTAAAAGTAATGAAAGTACCGAAAAACATCTTCTTCCTTTTCTCGACTTGTAGCCACCAGCAGAACAACGAGTATAACTTCGACATCAACAGTTACATCCTATACAAGTCGTAGTATCAACAGTACTATTCCAACGGCACATTCTACTGTTTGTAATTTTCATATAGATCAATCTGGTCCCGTTGGCCGTACGGGCACTGTGACATCATTTACATTCTATACGGACAATACGTGTAGCGGTGATACACTATATCTTGGTGCATTTACACCGACATCGGCTATAACAGCTGGTGCCAGTGCAACTTTTATATATATAAGCAGTCAATGGATTCATTTTACTATACCAACTGTTTCGAGCTCAAGTTTCACAATAGTCACTGTTAACTTTTGTACGGCTGTAAATACACCAGTAGGTTGTGTTGCAAATGCATTTTCGATTGACAGTACACAATTTTATGGTACATTTTCAATTACCTGTGGGCTACCAGGAGTTGTGGTTAGTTCGAGTACTGGTTGCTTTGATTTGATTTTGAATGGTGGTTCCGGGTGCACAACCAGCCAGTTACCGTCTTATAATACAAGTGTAACGTATACTCGACTTGGCAAAGATATATTGACTGCAATAACTATTTCATGAGCTGTAATATAATGGTTGAACTATTAGGCATTCTAATGAGTTTTGTGACGCAATACGCACACATATCTCTCCAAAAGAGAACCAAAACCTTCTGTTCATTGCGTAACAATATATACCAGGAGAAGAGAAGACGGTTTAAAATCAAATTAAAGCTGTTTTCGTTCTGTGCGAGAAATTTAAATAGATGTATCGTGCTATAAATGACTGCATTCTTACAAGGAATGGTGTTTTGACAGCTATACACGAGAACGTTTTCCAACCACTTTTAGAAGACAAATAAAAAATAGATAAATTTCATTGATGAAAATCGCATCTATCATCTCCCTTCTTTTTGATTTCTTTGCATTTGGCCAGAAAGAGAAGAAAAATTTAATATCTTCATCGAACTCTACTTTTTTTCCCCTTCTCTTTTACTGTCTACGTCATTTTTAAAACGTAAGTTGCGGCTAGCTACACATTCCATATTGCACCAGCGTGCTATTGTTCAGACTTACGATGCAAAAAACCTATTAGCAATTTAAGAGATGTTCCTTTTAAAATCTGCTAAAAGTGGCAGAATGTTTGCTCAATAGACTATAAAAGAATAACAGCATTTCGCGTTTTGACGTAAGTCATATTTTTAATCAACTCTTGATAGTTTCACAGTCCGACATATGAATCTTTGGAGACTCCAAACACTCACTCAGATCCAGTCGGAAATAGTCAGCATTACGAACGAAAATTTCTGTGAATCATCTTATGAAGAGTACCTATTGCTCATATGGTCCTCCGCTCTGTACTCCTAAATTTAACGTTGCTTCACCTCAACACGAACTGTTTCGATAAGGCTAAGAAATCCTATGATGTCAGCACATCGTTGAGCAATTGAACTCTGTCATAATGTGACAATAACCATATGACGTAGACCTAATTGTCAAAGTGATTTTTCATAAGAAGATTTATTGCAATGTAAAGTATAAGTTTTACCTTCGCTATCTGCAACAAATGACCTGTTGTCTATTCCATTTTTGCTTTTTAGCTCGCTATATGAACGCTGAATGTAAGATTTACAATGCAGCAGATTGCTAAAGAAGACAAAGGCGACTACAAGGTTTTGATTCTGGAACGGGATATATGTAGGTTTGTAGAAGAAGACTTCCTCTGTCCAATGGCGTACATATTATCAAATTCGGTTGTGTACCGTGAGAGAAAATTAATGGTAACCCCTCTATTTTTAGACCCTTTTACAAATTTTTTTTATTTTTGGGTTAAATGTTGGGCATTATAGAGTAAAGACAACAGAACCGTCCACTTTCGAGCCGCCGACGAAAAATCGTAAAATAAAACCGTCAGTTTAAGAACTACCTTATGATATATGTGCACACCTATGCAGTTAGCGTTTCTCTTTTATATCTGAAATACATGTACGATAGAGAGGAGCTTTACAAATTCAACAGCGACAGCTTTTCGTAAGATGCTAAAGTCTATCCGAGAACATGATGAGTATGCTGTGCGAAGACATACTTCTGTAAGTTCCTCAGTTCAGTGGTTTGTGTCTTGGTCTCATAATTCATACTCGCCAAGCGTCTCAGGTTCGACTCTTGTAGGAGCTGTCCTTTTTTTCTTCCCTGTCAAAGTGGACGGTTTTATCTGCACAGTTTTACCTGGACGGTTTTTCTAATAGTATTAAAACCGCCAAAGCAAAACTGTCATATAGGAACCATAGGAAACAAAAGCATGAACAACTAAAACCGTGAAAAAAAACATGTCAAACTGACTGCGAGAAACCGCGTATAAAAACTGTCATGAGTTTCACGTTTTTTTTCTCCGTGCAGTTTAGTCCTAAACCAGACTCTTCTACACTTTCCCAAATAATTATGTCATAGCTGTCGCAAAAAATGTAAGAGGGACAGAGAAGTAGATAAAAATCCTACGAGCTGAGTTGTATATCTGTGAATGGAAAGAAATGATAAAACTCCTCCAGTGATTGAAACACGCACTGTACCATCATCACTCCACACACAACCTTTGTTTCTTTTCCTTTCCCGTTCTCATCACACGCGCAATATATATTACTAATACAACTATCTTCGGTTAAAGTACTAACTCGGTAATAAATGTTTGTTACTTATTACCGGTAAAAAGGTAATAAATCTTGTTGTTTTATTATTTATTACTTCTGTGTATAATAATTTTTCATCATCTTACGGCTGTGTTATGATAAAAAATTCGGAAGGGCTATTGCCACGTTCGGAAGTGTCATTAAGAAGCTAAGACCACTTTTTGAAAGTGTTAACAAGAAACTAGTACGATTTTCGGACGTGACATCAATAGACATGCATCAATGTATAGATGATTGCATATAAGAAATTATTTCTTTTGTGAGCTTTCGCTCTCTTCGAGAGCATCAGCAAGCAATTTTCTTATTTAAATTTTCGTTATTATTCGCTACACTGTAAGGCTTCGTCATTAAAAAACAGTAATATGGTGACAAAGAGGGTACAGTATGAGACTGCATGAAAAAAGCAACAGCAGAATTAAAGATTGACGAAGCCTTACAGTGTATTAAATAATCATGAAATTTAAATACAACGTAACGCTCGACTGCACTCGTTCGATCCCTTGACTTTAGGAACTTATATCTACCAATGACCTCCTGTAATTTCGAATCCAAGGCAACGCTCATGAGAGACTGTCTATATTCTGTAACTTTTAAAAATCCGTAGATGACCTTTTTGTGTTATCGACGTTCACTGATTTCTGGCACCATCTACCTCCGAACTACAGGAAAAACTTTGCTTAGCTTTTATCGCTCTGTATCAGCAGACAGTTTAGCCATCTGTTTCAATATTTTTAGCCATCTATTTCAAAGTCACGTACTCAAATTTTGAAAAACGAGGAAAATCGCCTTTAAAAGTTTATTTTTTCTATCATTGATGTTGTTTAATCTCAGTGAGAACCACTTCATCGGATAGAGTTTGAAAGAACGTGTTGGATGCACATTTTGCTGTCTTATGTTTATGTGATTTTATGGGGGAAAATGGTTTACAAAAAAGGCCTACTTTTCGGAAAAAATGACCCTTTTAAACATTTTCCTGAGAACGTGCTTAACGTTTTGGAACTTTTTGTCCACTAGTGATTTTGTAGCTCTGAACATATAGAAGCTAATCTGACGGTACCAGTTCATGAAGGTGTTCCACTAAAAAATGGTAAAAATGCCTACAAAAAGGATTATTCTGCTGGAAAATGGGATTTCCACAGGTCTGGGAGACCACCATGGCGTTGTTTTAAAATTTTTTAAACATGATATTCGTCATCAAGAACCCAAGTTGTGTCCTGTTACTCTCGAACAATCCGGATAAATTTGATGTAAGCGTGGTGCGTTTCCGAAAGAATCACCCTCAGTCATTCTGAGTTTCAAAAGCGTATATTCTTTCCTAAAGAATAGACTAAATCTTACCACTTTTCCGATGCACAGGCTCAATTAAGCATGTTAAGTGTCCTAAGATCTCAGAATAAAAATTCACAGAATTGAGAAATGAATCAAAAGATTGATCTCTAACTGAGCATAAATGATTTACCTTGATTACATGTTCCCGACGAGAAAACCGGGTAAAACACGGTAAAATTAGCGTCGCAACTGCCTCAGGTATAGAGATGCGTGTATCTATTGTCTCATCGTTTTTTGATATGGAATAGTAGCGATACAGAGAAGTACTGTAAATAGAAGTCGTTAGTTAGGGCTTTTCGATCCGTAAGTTGCTCCTTTTATTTCTAAATTGCGTTAGATAAAAAGATGGAGACACAGTTGGAGACACAGCCTTAGATTGGGCTGATGTTTTCAGTTCAACGTTACATCTGACTGATACTTTATTACGTTTTACTTTGGACTAGAGACCTGCACGACCCCGACCCGACCCAATGAAAACAATCTCACCAGAAAACTGTGTTTGAGAAAGAATGTAGACATGCCTTGTTAGACAAAAGTTTTTCGATGCATATTGTAGAATCTCGTAGTTCAAAAAAAAATTTTTGAACGACGTCTGATTGGTCATTTTGTCTAAAAGGTAATCTATTGAAAATTCCTCAGTACACTTTGTCAATAGATTATCTTAACCGAGATGATGACCACATCCTTTTTCTCATTAGTCAGTCAGTATCACCTAATACTAAGAAAGCAAGTAGAGAGCATTATAGTAAAGTCTTCTATGTACGGGTGTTTAAAACAGTACATTGAAAAAAAGCCGTAAGGGGATGTATTGCCATTGATTTTAGTGCAGGAAGCACTCTCTTATGTGCAAAGAAAGCACTCATTAATCGATTTAGTGAGTGCAGCTGTTCTGAAACAAGTCTTTCAACTGAAAATTAAAGTAGAGATAACTTTCAATCAGTAATACAAAGCTAAAAATATTATTTATATTTTAAATTGCGTCGCCAAATATTCAACCCAAACCCGACCCGATCCTAGGATCGGGTTGCAGATGTCTACTTTGGTATAGTCCGTACTGACATTTCACTTTGGTCTGAAGCAACTCTAGGCGAAAGTAAACTTAGACTTTGGGCTAGTTCAAAGTGGAATTTAGACGTACAGTACCGATAGGAAAATGAGGAGAGAGAATGAAAGAAACATTTTACAAGAAAAAAGAAGTATCGTGTTCAAAGAGCAGGCGACTATCTAAGGAATTATTCTTACATATATTTATACAAAAATATTAATGGCTTTCACGCCATTTTACATACCATATAAAAAGTATGAACTTTTGCCAGGCTCAGAGATACGGGCTCGTATATATATCAAAAATCTTAGAATAGGCGTGTAACATTAGAATGTTGGTCCAGACTATCTCCGTCAGTTTACAAACTACGAACTTTTCTTTTGGAACTTAAGGGTTTGAAACGATGCTCTTTCTTTTTGTCTCTTTTTTCTAGGATCTTCAAGTAGAAAAACATATTCACGTTGCATGATGAGCCTTAATACGCGTGGTGTGAAACATTCAGTCCACTACTAGCTTATACTTACA